AAGTATGACAGAATATTGGAGTTGCATTATATGAATAAATTGAGATAGGATATATAAGCAGAGGATCTGCATAGTAGAATCTTGAGTTAGATGAAATAGTATAGATTTTGATGGTCATGCTGGTTAATACTTAATCTAATAAAGATTTCTGAATATGAAGATATAGATCGAGTAGATATGAGTAAATCTGTGATATTAGATGTTATAGCAATACCAACTTGGCTTAGTACTAACTAGATTAGAAGGATCTACTTCATAAATATTTAAAAAAATACAGAAGTATAAACTGGTAGAGAGCCACAGCTAGAACTAGATTTGTATGAACATCAAATAAGATATATATAAGCTAGAATGAGGATATAGTATAACATAGTTAGGTATTGTGATATCTATCTGTTAGGAGGCGTTGAAGTAGGACTTATTCAGATAAGACCTAGATCTATAATAGTAAAGTTTGTGACTAATGTCAGCTTGGGTACCTCCTAAAGTAGAGTAGCATGGAGTTAGAGTTAACTATAAGAATAATATTTGCAGTAAGTAGAATAGGGCTAAAGAGTTTAAATAGGAAATCTTCTAAAAGATTTTAGGTATAGCAGCTAGTATAGAACTTTTGAGTAGACTACTTAAAATAGACAACCTAAAATTGTATGTATAGCTAGTTGTACTCTCACAATATATATCACTTCTAAAATTTATGAAATTAATAAAGTTAGCTGATAGCATTTGTATAAAGTAAAAAAAAAAAAAAAAAAAAAGTATTTTTAATTGTATCTGCAAATCTGTTCTCATCATTAAATAGAAGTTAGTTATTATTTGTAATAACTCTATTCAAGTACCAATATAAAGTAGTATTTTTGAGACCTGTAGTAAATAGTAGACTTGAGTTAGTTTATCTGCAAAACCTTAAGCCAAAAAATTGTTTGTATTTGTAATAACTAAGCTACTATATTTTCATAAGGTTCTCTTTTAAATATAAAAATTTTCACTAATTTTTGTAAATGTAGGATTATTTTCTTGTTATTGTTACTTTTAGTGTTATTATTAGACTTGAGTTGACTAAGTTGTTGTATTAAAGCATTTTAAGTATTAACAAATTATCTAATAGCATTTACTAAATCTTATACAGATATCATTTTGTTCAGAAAAATTATGAAAAAGAAACTAAAAAAAAAACAAATAAAACAAGTATATAGCAAAGTAAAAAAGCAATAGTGTATAGAAAATAAAATATATATAGTGTAGTGAAAAGCTTTCTGCTACTACTAAGTTATAAAAGTTTAGTTATAATAAGATATTATTATATAGTTTTTGCTAATAAATATTTAATTTTTATTAAAGAAATTTTGTTAGGTTTAAATAATTTTTAAATATATATAATTTTAAAAATAAAAATACATTAAAAATAAAAGTTTAGTTTACTCATTAGGCTTACTAATCTATTCAGAAGATTCTGGTATAAAATAATATATAAATAAAGATAAAAATAGAAAATAAATGTAAATCATTACAAATCAAAGTTAATCATTAATACATATATTAATTATATTATTAATAAACAAAATTGCACTATAGAACAAAGTAAATAAAGGTTGCCAAACTGCTATACAAGAGGTTTGGAATTCAAATCCCATTGTTAATGAATTTGAATAATTATCTAGACCTTTGTATTCAACTTACAGTAAACCCTATCTGTTTCTGGAATTGTAATCTTATAAATCAAATTGTACCAATATCATTTAGATATTAGAAGTATAATGAAATATATAATATTACATGAATAAATCTTGATAGGATCTATGGACAGAAGACCTGAATAGTAGAAATTCTGAGTTGGTGAAGTAGTACAGCTTTCAACAATCATACTAACTAACACTTGATCTAGAAAGAAAACTATTATCAAAAGATACAAATTGAGTCAGATACATATAAATCTATTTTACAAGAAGAATTAGTAACACCAACCTGGCTTGGCAGCTAACTAAATTAGGAAAATCTGCCTCATGAAATATCCCAGAAGATAGACACAGAAAACTAGTGGAAAGCCATAGTAGGAACTAGAGTTATATGAATATTTACAAGAGTCTAAGCTAGATAAGTCCGTAAAATATGTATAAGCCCTCTAGTAGATTTGCTTCGAGGTTAACTAGAGCTCTGCAAAACTTATAATATATTAAGTACAAGCATCCCAAGAGGACTAAGCTGAAGTCAATAAATAGATCTGCAATGAACTAGCTAGCTTAAGCAGTTAAATGTTATAGTAATGATAGTTTGTAATAGTATGAGTTAGTTGAACAGAGTATTTAAATAGGTAACTCACAGGTAGGTTATAGGTATAGCAGCATAGTATAGTACTAACAGGTGGTCTAATACCTGCATAGCAGACTACTTAAATTAGACAATAACTAAAGTTATACATATAGCTTGTTGTATACTCTTCATATAATTACAAACTATAGAGGAACCCATATAGAACCTCATATATTAAACTAATAAAATTCGCTCAGCTATGTAAGCCACCTTAAAAATAAAAAAAATAAAAATAAAAAAAGTAAATAAGTCATAATAATGATTATCTATCTATGTTATATTTGCTAAATTAATCTTATTATATTTGATAAGCTGATAAGCTAAATATAGCTTAATTAATTATAGTAATTAGTATATTATTAAGAAAAGACTTAGAAAAATAATGAAAAGAAAAATTATAGAGAAATTATAGTATTGTTATATCTCATATCAACTCTTTTCATATGATCAAATATATGAATATACTATCTTAATATATATAATAAAAAGTAAAAGCATATTATTTGAGTATGATCTAAAATACTAAATATATACTATACTAGTACATATCTTAGTTGTTTTCAATTAGTAATACTAGAAGTTAGAACTAGTTTTAATAATTCAAGTTTATCATATAAATTTTGTGATATTTTAGGAATTTATCTAATTAAGTTTTAATAAATTCTAAAATATCACAAAATTTATGTGATAAATCTAAATTATTAAAACTAGTTCCAACTTCTAAGTAATACAAATACAATTTATATAAGTTAGTATCTGATATATAAACTATAATTACCTCAAGTAGTTGAGTGATTTGAGTTTTACAATTCATATATCATTTAAATAACTTAAGTTTTACAATCTATATATTATATCTAAAACTATTATAGTCTAATATAAGTTATTTTAAGTTTATATAAACTTATAATGATTCAAATAATATAAGACATAGAAGGAAAACTCCTAAAAGTATTAAAATAAAATATTATATCACTGTAGTAATTCTTTTAAAGAATTATTTATAAGGCAAAGATTATACTTTATTAAAGAATTAATAAAGAATTTAAGACTTTATTAAGTACTATATTTTTTAGAATTATAGAAAACTCTAAAGAACTTAACAGAACTTTATAAAGAACTTTATACAGAACTACTTTATAAGAAGAAAAAAGCTAGGATTTATATATCTTTTTACAAATATCACTAAATATTATTAAATATAGCTAAATATTATTTAATATAGCTAAATATGTCTAGTGATCTTAGTATAGTAGTTAGGTTGCCAGACTGCCATACAAGAGATCTAGAGTTCAAATCCTACTATTGACAAAATTGAATAATTACCTAAACATCTGTATCTAACTTACAGTAAACTCTACTTGTTTTTGGAGTTGTAACCTTGTAAATCACGTTATACCAATACCAATTAGAGTATTTGAAATATGACAAAGTGTTTGGAAGAGTATAATATTATACGAATTAATCTTAATAGAATTTACAGACAGGAGATCTGCATAGTAGAAATTCTAAGTTAGATAAAGTAGTACAGATTTCGATAGTTATATTAGTTAACATTTGATCTGGAGAAGAAAATCTGCATATAAAAAGATTAGTGACTAGAATGTTAGTAAGTTCATTAGGAAATCTGCATATAAAAAGATTAGCAGAATAAGTGCATATAAGTCTATTACATGAGATTATATAGCAATACTAATTTAGCTTAGCAGCTAACTAGATTTAGGAGGATCTGTTCCATATGATATCTGAAGATATAGATGACTTTTGGCAACACTAATCTGAGTAGTAACAGATTTGGAAGAATCTATCTCATGTGATATCTGAAAGCACAGATGACTAACTCAGTAGAAAGCCATAGTAGGAACTGGGTTTGTATGAATATTGAACAAAGGTATATACAAGTTAGATTGGGATATAGCATAGCATATTTGAGTAATACAGCACCTATCAATTAAGAAGTTAGTGAAAGGGTACCTGAGATAGGTCTAGGCTTCAAATCATAAAGTTTGTAGATTCATGTTAGCTCTGTTGATATCTTTCAAAAATGGAAATAGTATAGGGTTAGATGAATTTAGGTAATAAATGATAGCAAGATAGGAATCACATATAGCCAGAAAGTTTAAATAGGGAATTTTCAAATAAATTTCAAGTATAGCAACTAGTATAGAACCTTCAAGCAGACTACTTAAATTAGACAATCTAAAGTTATACGTGTGGCTAGTTGTACTCTCACATATATAATCATTGCTTAAAACTATTTATACTAATAAAAATCTCGCTGATGATATATTTATCAAGTAAAAAAAAAAAAAAAAAAAACATAGCTAAACATAACTAAATGTAGCTAAACATAATTAAAAATAGTTAAACATAACTAAATATAACTAAACATAGCTAAATATAACTAAATATAAATGTTATCTAAATGTTAATTCTAAGATAATACAAAAACTACATATGCTACAGATATAATTTATAGCTTATTTTAAAGATCTAATTGAGCTAAACTGAATAGTATAATCTAAATCTTTTTTTAGCTAATAAGAATTCAAAAGAAATAATAGTAAATAAATCTAAAATAATATAATATAATAATAATTAAAAAATATGCTAAAGTTCATTTGATAACAATATAAATATAATTTTTATATAAATTACTTAAACTTTAATTAAATAAAAATAGATACTTTTTTTTAAATTTTTTCTTGGCCTCCATGTTCTGTTGCTTGATATACAGCACAGATTACTTCATAAAAATTTTCTATTAGGCAAACTTGTGTTTTCAAATTATTTTTATCCTGTTTAAGTAAATGAAACTCTTCTGCCATACTAATATGAAGTATCTTAAAAATATTTGTAATCTAGTATTTTAACTTTGAATTGTACTAAAAGCTTGGATTTTTTAATATATTTAAACATTTGTTATAACGATTAATATCTATTAAGCTTCAGTTAATTTTTCTTTGATTAACATGCTTTTCTAATATTCTTTCAAAAGATTCATGAGAAAGAAAATTATAGGTTTGTGGCTTTATAATATCAATAAAGAAAAAAAGATTTATGAAAATAATGATATGATCATTATTTAACGAATTTTAATTATTAATTTATTAATTTTTTACTGATATTTTAAATTTTTATTGATTCTTTACTGATTATTTAAATTTTTTATTGATACTTTACTGATGCATATTAAACATTCTTTGTATTATTAAAAAATAAAACAAGTCCGATAAACATTCTATCAATAACTCGAGTTATTGATGGATCTGTAAATAACATATGTCTCGACGCATAACATATTCACTTTATCTACTATATTACCTAATTATCATATCGATGTTACAAATATGATGAATGTAATACATGTAGAGCTATTTACTGTACAAATCAGAATACTTTTATATCTACAACTTTAATTAGAGGTATGTAAGGATTGGACCCAGGTAAAAATTGCTGCTATATGGTTACCCGATATATATGGTAAATTACCTGGATAACCCGGGTAAAAATTTTCTCGATGGGTCCAATCTCTAGAAGATATAATTCTTAAAGTTTTGTATTTTATTAAATATTAAAAATTCAATTTTCAAGATATTTTACTAACAAACCCTCTTTATTTCTCTAATTAAAGTTGTTAAGACAAGTATTCTAATTTCAATTATGTTAAAATCGCTAAAATTGGATCAGTAGATCGCGAGATATGAATAGTTTTATTTTCGCGCTCATATCAAGATTTGACATAATTATCTCACGATCCAATCAGGAAATTTTAGTGATTTTAGTATTGTTGGAATCGGAGCAATGACCTTTACAACTTTTATTAGAGGCATAAATCGCTTTTACATAATAAAATATTTAGATATTGACTGACTTCTAATCGGGAAATCTCATATCTAATCGTTGCTATGCGATAAGGCACGTGTTGCTGTGCCCAATTCTTACCCGAAGAACTCTAACTCTAATAAGACTCTATTAAAATTTTGATCTGATACAAATTTTTACCCAAATACCTTTTTCTCCTCCTAAGCTATGCTATATTATATTCATTGCAGAAACTAAGATAAAAATGTTTATTCAAAATTACTTCTTCAGCAAAACTTTAGATACAATCCATTCAATTAGGTCCTAATCGGTCCTGACATGATTTATTAAATAACTAGTCCCAGAGAAATATGATCACTTATCTCCAATAAGTAAACTACCCTGAAAAATGCTTGGGAAGAAATTTTACTAATAACTTTTTTAAAAAAAATCATTTTAAAAATTGGAAATTTGATGCCAATCAAATCAGTCCTAGGACTGATTTAATTAGAATCGGTCCTAAGCAAATTACAAGTTTTTTAGATGATTTTTTTTTAAAAACAGTTATTAATAAAATATTTTCCCAGGTAAATTTTTCAAGGTATATTACTTATTGGAGATAAATGATTATACTTATCTGGGACTAGTAATTTAATAAATCATGTCAGGACCAATTTGTACCAATTAGAACTCCTAAATGAAATTATTATACTACTTATTAATTCTTTAGCTATCTTTTAAAAATACCATGTAAATATTTTTATAAAGATTTTAAAAAAAATAAATATGTTACACGTAATCTTGCGATTTGATTGACTTTTTACAGTACGTTAACATGATTATATAAACATATTTTGAAATAATTTATCAATATACCGGTAATAATTTTTATTTAAACTAATTCATTCTTTAAATAATGATCAAAATTGAACTTAATTTTTTTTTGCATGTTTATTTTTTAATATACTATTAAGTATACAAAAGGGAATTTATGACAAAAATCTACAAATGGTAATGAACTAAGATCTTACATTACCAAATATGAAGTTCTAATCTAGTTAAATTTTTTCCAGTTGCTTCATTTTTTGCCGTTTCCCAACAATTATCACCTTTTAATACAACAATATCCCCACGTTTATTCCTATATCTAAGAATAAGATTATCCATTGTCATATTAAATCTTGTTTCAAGAATAATTAGTAATTTTTGATATGTTGAATCCATTGGAACAGCGATAGCACGACGTTCGGTTGGAAATACACAAGTTAGATACAACTTTATTTCAAAAAAAAAAAAAAATCCCCCAGATTAATATGTAAAAGAAAAAAAAGAAAAAAGTAAGGTATATAAATACCTTTTGCCTATTATCTTTAGCAAGTTCATTACGAACACCATTTTGTTTAAACCATAATTTTTCGATATCGTTCTCGATTTTTTCTAATATTGAAGAATCTTCAGAATCATAAGGAATCAATATTAGAGAACGTAAAGAATTAAATTTTCCATCCGATGGATCAGTGTGCAAAATTGTAGGATCAAGAAGATATGGGTATCCACCAAGATGATGACGGTACTAAAAAAAGACATTAATAAAATACAAAAATAAAAATACAAAAAAAAATAAAACATAAAAAAATTCTTGAAAATAATAAAAGACATACGGTTCTTCTAAAATCAAGTTTAAATTTTATAGTAATTTTTTTTTCATTTAAAATTTTAAATCCAGATAATTGATTAAATGGGATAGAAATTTCATCGGACATTCCATTAAGGCAACAAGAGATTTCACCACCACCATTTAAATTCAAATCATCACCAACTTTATAAAGAAATGCCAAATCACCTTGATATTTGGCATTTATGATCGTTGAACAATTCTCGTAAACAAAATGACATTGTGTAATATCAACTTTTGATAATATCTGTGGTTGTACTGAAGTTGTATTAGTCGAAGAAGATGATGATGATAGAGTTCCAGAAGAAGATTTGGAGGTAGTTAAAGATGTAAGATATTCAAGAGAAGTTGAAGACAAAGTAGAAATAGTTGGTAAATTTTTCAATTGGATAGGTTGAGTATAAACCGAATTAACATCATGATGAATCATATTTTGAGGAGAGACAGAAATTTGATCAATTGGTTTAGGATCAGTGTCACCAATAATCACATTATTGACGTCAATCTTATCACCAATATTAAATTCAAATTTATCGGTAATAATATCGTTAAAAATATTATTGTTAAGCTTATCGTCAAGAGACATTTTAAAATCATTCGTATTCGTCGTTGAATTATCAACATAATCATCATCACTCAAAGAAATCAAAATATCATCATCCTTATTAAGTTGTTGCAGTGTGGAATTTGTCAAAGATGATAATGATGGTAAAGTAGGCTGTGAAGAAGAGTCACACCAAATCGATAATGGTTTAACAATTAAATCTGATAATGATGGCGATAATTTGATATTGACATTGTTTTGGGATAAATTCTTTGTTTCATCTGCATTATAGACAGGTTGTATAATGGGGGATGTAGGTGGGGTTACTTTTATTAAGTTACGAATCGAAAACAGTTTATTAAAAATTGATAAAGATTTATAATTAGTCATTTAGTACGACAGAAAGGTTTAAAAAAACCGTAAAAAAAAAATTATTTACCATAATACGAAGCAACACTATTATTATCGTTTTCCCAATCTTCATAATTTTGATCCATTTTTTCTTTATCAAAAGAAATTTAAAGAAAATTTTTAGAAGTATAAAAAAACAATTTATACGTGTAAAAATTTTGTAATGACGTGTAATCAAAAAAATCATGTTAAGTATGTAGATTAACTGGATTTAACCGGATTTTGAATTATTTAAATATTTAGTTACAACATCTACTTTTTCGCCAGATAGAATTTATGTAACGGTAAGTATGTAAAAACGATGGATCTTTTTTTTTTTCGTAGCATTACAGATAGACAATAGCGATAGTATAAAAAAATACGAATTTAATCAAGTTTATATAGATCATCATATTGCTTGAATACACTAAATGCAGATTCATTTAATAACAAATTACGAGATTATGGATTTTTTTTTATATGATTTGATGATTTAAAATAGTATAATTTTTATAATTTTTATATCTCTTATTCTATAAATTTTCCAAGTACAGTACATAAAAATATATAAAATATCTAAAATACGGTATTTAAAAATTATAGAGGTCAAGTATTGATTAAGTTGAAATCGCGTACATATCAAATGTTACATACTTAATACATATGTGTGTACATAAGTATGAACGAAAGAACAAGTTATGTTCAAAGCTAATATAAATACTAATTAACAATCAATCAATACCAATATAAAATAAATATATACAATACGAATATACCTAATAAATTGTAATAGATAAATTGGAAAGGCATAATGATAATGAACAGACTTAAATATAAATTCGCATAAATGGCAAAGGTGATCAAACCCTTATAATAAATTACTGAATTAAATAGTTGCTCAAATGTAGTAATGATAAAATGAAAAAAAAAAAAAGATAGCACGCGAATGATTGAAATGATGAAAGTAATTAAATTCAGCCAAGATAACCTTTTGGTTAAATATAGAAGTTTATTTTTGGTATTTTTTTTATACTCAAAAAAATTAAAACATAGTTTTTTTAAATTATTATTAGAGAAAAGGCAAGAATAAAAATTTTGAATTCATGATTGGACACAATGAAATTCACAAGTTTAAAGCGTTACACGTCAATAATTTTTACTCAATTTAGTTAAGAATAATCAGAATGCTCACAATTTAAAATTCCGCTCTTATTAACGTGTAAGTGCTTAATATATTAAAATGGCGAGGTTTGCATATTAATCTACTTTGTTCTCACCCCTTTCTCGGTATGATCCATACCGGATCTACTCGTTATTCGTTCTGTAATCACAGATAGTAGATTTCCGCGTTCATCTTACGATTCTAGTACAATTAAAGATCCTATTCAGCAAGTTTATGATTCTCACGCAGATGCTAATTAGGATAATTGGGATCGAGAGTCTATTGATCACAATTAGATACAATTAGATCACGGAACTTCGATAAAAAACCTCCATTGTTAAATTGTTTCATTTGTAAAACAGGTGCAAAACACACAAAAGAATCATCCAATTGATCACTTAAAATAAGCATGAAACATTTTATATATATATAAAAAAAAAAGACTTGACTCTTGTATATACTTGCCTCTTACCATAATAAACATATATTCGTTACTAATTAAACCAATCAATAAGAATGTCTATTGAATCTGTGAATTTTTTTTGGTGAGAATGCTTCGAGAATTCAATTTAAATAGAGATTAGATCTCTGTGTTCCCTCACATTATTTTTACTCCTCCCACTTCTCCTTTAGCTTTCTCCTTTATTCAGTGATCTTTCCTTATATTCTTCTCGTATTCGTGTTTATATTGTCTTGTACTACTTCTTTCTTGCTGTGTCTCAACCTTCTATCATCATTATACTATTTTGGCTTTTTTGTTTCTCCCGCGAGAAAAAAAAATAATAATCCGCGAAATATTTTTCCCGCCGTGTTTTAGGTTAGTTTCGTTTTCTTGGTGAATTTGCTTTTTTTTTTTTTTTTTTTTCAAGAAAGTAAATGTGACAAACCCCTTGCCCGTGCTTTATCCTTCGTATACCCCTCCCTATTGTTGTTTTCGTGTTGTGAAGGATTTCCTCCTTTAATTTCCTTGACTCACTTCTGTTATATCACTTTATATCTCTTCGTCGCGTTTTTCTATTCCTACTAACCAAGGTAAGGAAACAAGAAATCCTATTGATTTTTCTAAAACATGCTAGGCATATCTTATTCATGTTGTTTTTTTTATCCTAAATTCCAGGTATATTCTAGCCACAAATTCTATCATTAATTCTTGTCATAATTCTCGTCATAATTTTTTTTCTATATTTATAGCTACATTTGGAGATTTAACAATGGGGGGTAAGAAGTTTGAAGAAATAACCTCAATCATTTATACCAATATTTAATCATTTAAACTCATCTAACTCATTCAAATATCAGAACCTAAACAAAGGTTGATTGCTCCAACTCCAAGTCAAGTCAATACGCAATCATCATCCACAACTCCCATCGATCCACCACGATTTCATCGAACATATTTTTATCCATCGTTACAATCATCACGAGATACTCCTCAACCAATCATTAATAATTGGATGATGCCTATCTTCTCGTTACATACCCCAACTCATCAACAAATTCATCCTTCCACTTCGTTAAATAATCATATGTATATGGTACCAATTTCTAATAATCATAATCATGTAGCCTTTTCTTCCTCTTCTTCCACTCCTTCCTCTCATTTTTCGGATGCTATCGTTCCTCGTATAACTCCTTATACCGGAAACTCCGCTAATGGTTCTGCTAATCTTAATTCTCCTCCGTCATCCTCATCTGTTTCGCGTAATAGACATAAATGCGATTGGCCTGGATGTACTTGGAGTTTTAAACGATTAGAACATTTAAAACGTCATATGATTACTCATACTGGTGAACGTAAATATACTTGCCACTATCCCGGTTGTGGTAAAAAGTTCGGAAGGTCTGATAATTTTGCCGCTCATTATAAAACTCATACAAAAACTAATCCGAGAAGATCAAGAAAATCTGCTAATATCTCTGCTGATATCTCTTCTGCCTTGGATATTAATAATCCTGCTTTAACTAATAATAATTTATCAAACGGAATCTCCGGTTTAATGACTATACAATTACCCCCTCCTCCTCAACCTGCTGTACCTTCTTCATCTCTTACTCAAGACCAAATTGATGCTTTTCATTATTATTGTGATACGGCCTCCGCTGCTAACTCAAATTCTCGTCCTTCCATCTCCGAAAATGCTACTACATCGCCTGATCATGCTTCTTTACGATATAGAGAATGTTACTAGCTATATTGTTCCAGTTATATTCTTGATTATTTGTTTTAGTTTTAAGTTCATTTTTTTAGTTCATTTTTTTTTTTAGTTCATTTTTTTGTTCATTTAGACAATTTTACATTATAATTTTTCTCTTTTTCTCTTTTTTTTTTTTTTTCTTTCTTTAGATTTACTATTTTAATAGTGAGCTTATATCAAAAAAAAACTTTCAATCAGATACATTTTTTAAAAAAAAAACAATCATTACCGTGTATTCATTTTTGGACTTTTTTTTTCCCTTAGGATTAATTCAAATAAAAATTTTATATAAAAGATGCATTTTTACATGCGTAATTCCTTTCATATATTGTATATAG